CTTCCCTTTCTCTTAGCCATTCTTCAAAGACACTGGGTGGTCTCCTGCTTTAGGTTCTTGGACACCCTCTCTCCTCTGCTTGTTCTCCCCAGGACGGATTCCTCCCTGTTACAGCTTAGATGTGAGGTGTCCCCTAAAAGCTCAAGTGTGGAACAATGTAAGAAAGTTCTGAGGTGAAATGATCAGACTATAAGAGTCTTCACTTAATCAGTGCATTGTTCCCCGGAGAGGGATTAACTGGATGGTAACTGTAGGCAGGTAGGGTGTGGTGGGAGGAGGAGGGTCCCTTGGAGTGTGCCTTTGGGGTTTATATTTTGTTTGTGGTAAAGGGAGAGCTCTCTCTCTCTCTCTCTCTCTCTCTCTCTCTCTGTGGTAAAGGGAGATCTCTCTCTCTCTCTCTCTCTCTCTCTCTCTCTCTCTGCTTCCTGATCACCATGTGAGCTGCTTCCCTCCACCACACTCTTCCTCCATGATGTCCTGCCTCCCCTCCAGCCCTGAGGAATGGAGCCTGCTGTCTATGGATGGAGACCTCTGAAACCCTGAGCCCCCAAATAAACTTTTCCTGTTCTAATTGTTCTTGTCAAGTCTTTCAGTCACATCAGCAAAAAAGCTGACTAAAGCATTCTTTATTCTGAGTCCCCAGGCCTCAGCTGAGAGACGTACCTCCTCAGAGAGGCATCTGGTGACCACCCCATTCCACTGCCCCCTGCTATTTTCCTTCCCAGTATCAATCAAAATCTATTCCTATATAGATGGTTATTTGCTGGTTATGTGAATCTTCCAATCTTGAGGGTAAGCTCCAAAAATGTCTAGGAGTATATTTTGTCTATATAAGTCAAAGTTTGACTTATAAAAATTCAGTCTTATGTAAATTTGGAGTCCATTTATAGCTCAACATTTAATTCAGCTCTGTGGAGCCAACTCTCTGTGGGTTCATTAATGTTTTACACGTACAGCCAGATAAGTTCTTGTCACTGCCCCACAGGGTGGGATCAGCCACAGCCTGGTTTTAAAGGCTAAGTGATAACAGCTCATTGGTCACCGCGGTGGGTGGCTTTGGCATCTTAGATTGCTCTTCCTTGGTGAGTCTCTGATTTCAGCCTGGGCTTGGATGAGAGTTCCTGCTCGTGTTGACAGTGACCTCCCCGATGCATGGACCTTCTGGGCCTCCTCCTCTATCCTTCCTCAAGTTCACTGTCCACAGAACTGAGGGCGGGGAGGCTGTGATGGGACTCATGCCAGCCCCCTCCCCTAGGTCACCGCCTGATAGATGTCAGGAGTCAAGAGTTATTTTCCCAAAGTCTTAGGAATGTGTTCACAGGCAAGTGCGACCTCGAAATGTGGGCGGGTTACCATGGAGTGGGCGCATTCCCACGCCCGCTCCTGCGCCTTGATGGGAACCCGACCGTTCCTCCCGAGCTGATCCTGAGGGAGCTCAGCACCTCCTGCGCCCACCATCAAGGTCACCAACCCACCCTGTGCTTGGTGCTCCTCCTTCGCCCTCTCCTGTTCTGCACTCCCTCACTCCTGCTCCTGCACCGTCCTTGTCCCCAGTACCAATCCAATAATGAGGACACGGTATTGAGAAAAAGGAAAAAGAAGGTTCATTGCTTTGTAAGCAAAGGAGCGACACAGGGGACTCCAGTCCCAGAGGCTGTGGTTCTGCCCGTCAGGGAAAACAGGGGGCTTTTAAAGAAGCGATTCAAAGGCTGCCTTCTAGGTGGGTCCTGCTGGGAGGGTCCCAGGTGCACCCTGAGGTTGTATTGAAATCCACTTGTTAATTTGGGAGACTGTCACTTCCTAGTTCTTCTGGGGACATCTCCTTCCAGGCGAGAACAGATAACCGAAGGTAACCTTGTTCCCTGCTCCAAAGTGAGGGATGGGGAGAAGGAGAAGAGGAGAAGGAAGACAGATCCCTTTAAAAAAAAAGCAGGAAGGGCTGCATTCGAAAAGTGGACTGTTGTGACGGAGTCACCTCCCAGAAAAACCCCTTGCAACCAAGCCCTCCTCCCAGGTGCTGTGTTCGGGGACCCAGTCCCTGACAGTGCCCGCTGCATGCCAGAGCTGCCCTCCATCTGTATGTGGCCCTCCCCTTTTCCTAATACATCTTCACTTCTTCAAGGCAGATATTATTGCTGTCCCCAGGGCAGAGAAGGAAAGAATGAGAACTTAAGCATCTTGCCAAAGGCCTCTCTCCATTGACCTGCCCACACCCCTCAAGGGTTGAAAGTGTTCCCTGGGGTTTTAACTTCCCTTCACATCCAGGCTGCAAGTACCCATAGGCCTCAGAGGAGTCCCGGGGCTTTGGAGAAGGTCTTGAGAAAGGCAAAGGAAGGGTAAATAGATGGCAGTGCAGGGATTCTACACTAGGTGGTCTGATCTCAGAGGTTACCTCTTTATTTTCAGTGCCAGGGGTTGCACTTAGGGGTGTTTAACCACTGAGCCCCATCCCCAGCCCTTTTTCTATTTTGTTCAGAGACAGAGTCTCGCTGAGTTGCTTAAGGCCTTGCTCAATTACTGAGGCTGGCTTTGAACTTGCGATCTTCCTGCCTCAGCTTCCTGAGCCACTTGAATTACAGGTGTGTACCATGCCCGGCTACAGTTCACCCATTTTGAATATATGTTTTCCCTCCTCCCAAGGAAACAAAGGTTCAAGAAAACAAATCAATACCCTGAAACATAGCCAGGTGCAGTGGCTCACTTCTGTAATCCCAGGTGCTCAGGAGGCTGAGGCAGGAGGATATCGAGCTCAAAGTCAGCCTTAGCAACTTAGTGAGGCCCTAAGCAACTCAGTGAGACTCTGTCTCTCAATAAAATACAAAAAAAGCGGGGGGTGGGGGTGCTGGGGATGTGGCTCAGTGGTTAAGCACCCCTGGGTTCAATCCCTGATACCACAAAAAAAGAAAATAAAACAAAACCCCCAAAACTTTGAAACATGATCAGTGAGCAGTGAAACTTCCAAATTAGGTCTAATGGACACATAGACCTGGGCTTACTCACAAGCACGGATCACTCCTCTTTGTGTGAAAGGCCAGATCTACTGCTGTTTTCTTGAAACTTGGAGGAATAAAACCAGTTTAGTGACATCCCTGTTGGATTACAGCCGCATTTTTATTGCACACCTGCAGTGGAGTGTGGAAGCCCGCCTCTAGCCCAACCAGGGAGGGTGGTGCTCTCCATTCGCCAGCGCCCACTGTGCTGGGGAACTGCTAACGCCGCTCAAAATCACTGCTGGCTAGGATGATTTCTCTGCTTTGGAGAGTTCATGACAGTTTATGAAGCAGAGGACACTCTCTCCTCCTGGACAGGGCTGAAGAAAGTCAGCCCTGGCCATTGTCCCAGGAAATGGGGAGAGACACTCTGGGAAGAACGCACCAGTGCCCCCTCCCTCTCCCAGGCCACGGCCAACAGAGGTCAGGAGGGAGAGCCTCATTCCCTGGGCACAGGATGCCTTCTTTTCCTATTCTCTTCTGCCCCTCAGCCATCGAGATCCTTCCAAAATGCTAATCTCATTGTGTCCTGCTTAAAATCAGTGCTTTCCCTTAGCTTCCTTAGGATCAAGCTAGAATTCCTAATTATGGCCTTTGAGAAGATTTCACCCGGGCACCAGTCACAGCCACACCTCCGGGCAAGCCCTCCTCCTTCATCTCCCAGTGCAACCTTATGTATTCCTCCTTCGTCCATCATCAAAGCCCTTTGCCAGGGAATTCTCCCCCCCCCCCCCAGGACCTGCTTCCCTCTCCCCGAGTCCTTGTTAAACCTTGTTAGTGTTGATATTGATCTTGAAAATGAGGATCAGGTCCTTATTACCCCAGTGTTGAAGATTAAACACCTGAGAAATGCCGAAGCAAGAGCAAAAAGTAAATCTGATTTAAAAGACAGAGAGAGAGAGAGAGAGAGAGAGAGAGAGAGAGAACCCACAGAGATGGTGCCCGAAGGAATGGGGGTGTCCTGCCCCTTTAAGGAATTTAGGTTTTCCTTCTTCTCATGCCCCCCTCTTCCCAACCTGTCTACACTGATCAAAAGATGACCAAAAGGCAGGAAGAGAACTGTCCAGGGGGTGATTGCTTGTGTTGGAAAGTGTGATCTTTCCCCTCCCGCAGAGGCTGTATTAGGTGCTACCAACACCTTTCCTTTTCTTTGTTAATAAGTTACCTGTCCTTTGTCATTTGGTCTCAGTGCTCAGGTACAAGGCTCCTGGGCTTCTCCCTAACTAGCTCAAGTCCTTCTGATAGATGTTCCCATGGGATCCTGGGATCCTGTGTCTCATTGTTGTACTCGGCATAATTGGGGTTTGATGATTGTAACGTCTGTCTCTCCTAATAGAACATAAGCTTCATAATGAACAGCCTGTTTCTGGGTTTTCTCATTATTATGTCCCCAGAGACATGCACGGTGACAGGGGCACAGAAGGTCTTAGAATGGGGGAGTGACTGAATGAACAACCCTGGTGTGTTAGTCAGCTTTTTCACTGCTGCGACTAAAAGACCCGACCAGCACAACTATGAAGGAGGAAAACTTTACTTGGGGGCTCAGGGTTTCAGAGGTCCCAATCTGTAGACAGCAGGCTCCACTCCTCGGGGCTCGAGGGGAGGCAGGACATCATGGAGGAAGAGTGTGGTGGAGGGAAGCAGCTCACATAGTGATCAGAAGTAGAGAGAAACTCCACTCTCCAGAGACAAATAGAGACCCCAAAGCCACGCCCCCAATGCCCCCTCCTCCAGCCACACCCACCTGCCTCCAGCCACCACCCAGTTAATCCCATCAGGGGTTCATTCACTGGTTGGGTTAAGGCTCTCACAACCCAGTCATGTCGCCTCTGGACCTTCTTGCACCGTCTCACACTTGAACTTTTGGGGGACACCTCACATCCAACCTTCACACCTGGGCTCAGGACACAAGCAGAGGGGGAGAGACTAGAGACACTGTATTTAACCCCTGTTCTTTTCACTGGTCAGCTGGCCGGGTAGCACTACTGTCATTCACTGCACTGTCAGCAATGTGTGTAATAACTTTATTAAGGTCAAATAGATATCACAATACACATTTATCCAACAGGATCAAGAGAGGGTCACAGATATCACCCAAGACACAAGGCTATTTTGTGCTATATGCTCTCACATCACAGATCACACAAAGTTTGTACACAAATAACAACTTTTACCTGGAAATACAGATGCTTAGCTTTCCTTACCATCCAGGCTCTGGTGTTTCAATTGAATTAAAATAAAGAGGAGAAGATTGGCATTTTCTTGGTAATGAATACATTCTAGGGAATATTTCATGAGAACCCTCTTTGGGATACAGAGTGGCACCTGGAAGCCATTTTTAATTTATCGGTGACACTCAAAGCAGAATTAGTAAATCTGTTGAGCTGTGACTTGAGAATTTTCAATAATTGGATTGAAGAACATATTAGCTTTATAAATAGATAGGATTAAAATGTTTGATTGGTCTACATAGATCTACAGAATTTCCTTTCTACACTAATACTTTAGAATAGCAACATCTTAACTATGGTATCTAAATCTGCATCTCCAGTATTCTATGAACATATCACTGTTTGAGCTCAGACAGTTACTGGGCTTTATTAGGCATGGTCCACAGGATAAGAGCCACAAAACACCATAGAAATTTACCAGAATGTAAATACTTAGATAAGCAAATAGGATAAATATTGGGCAGTTACCATATGTAACACTGTCTACTAATAAGAAAAACAACAACAACAACAACACAATTCTTAGTTACAATGCATCCAGAACTTAGGTAAAGCCAGAAAGACAAATTTGCAAAGGTATACAAAGTAATGAGTATGTTTCTTTAAACATCCTTTTGACAAATTCATAGTGCAAACTGGAAAAACTTCGTAAATATAATTCAAATGTTTACTGTGTGAGAAATGCTTATTCATGCACTAAATAATATGAGCATTGATTCATCAAGTGAAAAAAAATACAGTAATTGCCTGAAATAAGTAGTTAGAGATTTGCATCATACAGGGTCTAAAAACTAAAAAATAATAATGCATGCAATGTTGTTATACATCAAATTGTTTCCTAGGAATCATTAAAATGTCTTTTGCATCAAAATGCATAGGAAAACTCAATGCTATTTAATTGACTTTATGCATATTACCTACTGGAGACTTTAAGCTACAAAATGCTTCTACGATCTCTACCACACATATAAAATGACCATAAAAGTATCTGTGGATTTAACAAGGTACTCTCCAATTAGCCATCTGTGATAAATAATATATCTCCCCACGTCGTCTCATCTCTAAGTATCATTTATCACGACCCAGGCCTCTCTGCTTTAATGAGGACTACACATCTCTGACTTACATTCAACACTATCTGCATGAATAATTGATGGGAACTCTTAAAAAATTCCTCTGCCACTGAAGTGGAAGGTGGTGAGACCTTCTCCAGAAGACTGCAAAAGCTACTCTGCTAAATCTGATTGGTGAAGGAGGTGGGACCACTAGGCTGTTGGCCAAACTCGTCTGAGGATGGCCCCAAACTCGCCTGCTGGTTGTACCCACTGCTAGACCCATAGCTCTCTTGGTTGTACCCGCCTTGATTATAGCTGCTGGAATGCTTCTCCATGGGGTCCGAGAGGTATCTCTGTCCCGAGGAATGCCAGCAGGTCTCCTTGAAAACAAACCAGATGTTTCCAGCCCAGAGGATAAAATTCAAGAATCCAAAGACCTGAGGGGAGAATCAGGGCAAATGAGTTGATAGATTAGACAGAAATGCTAGGGAAAAAAAAAAAACTCAGTTTCAGAAAAATCCTTCAGAGTATAATGGATGTTTTTTTGCTTTAACATGGAGGCCCCATGACCCAGACCTGGTCTGATCTTCCATTTGAAATCACAATTTCATTTAGAATATCTGGTTTCTAGTAAAGGCCTGCTGTAAGCCAGGCACTGGGTAAAGGACTTTATATGGATTGATTCCCTCAGTCGAAGCTGACAGTGCAATTATTAGGCCCATATTAATGAAGTGGATTCTGGTCCAAGGTCACATGACTTGGTAAAGAGATCTGGGATTTAAACCCTCTTCTGTCTGATAGCCTGAGCCCTTACCTAAGCCATCAGTATATCTGCAAATGAGGAATTCCTCATGGTATATAGGATTACCATCAGGTGGTGTAGGGTGCAATATTTTCTCTTTAGTAATGATATGTTAATTTATAAGGCTACTGGCTATAGATACTACTTTCCCACTTATTATAATGATAGAAAATGATTTGATTTTTAAATAAACATGGAGCAATCTTGATATAGGCACAGAGTTTGAGGCTCTGCAGAGTTGTACTTCTGTGTCTCTCACATTCAGAAAAGAATGCCAAGAGCAGACCCAGAAAGAGGTGAGGTTTCAGAGAGATAGAAAATGCTTCCTGAAGAACTGGAATATGAGGCTTTCCTATGCAGGTTTCTTTTACTCTCCAGAAGGGTTTTATTGAGTCAGAGGACCAGGTGGTATTTCTCCAGGGCCCAAGTCTTCGTGGCTACAGAGCTATTTGCTACTGCAACAGGCTCAAAAAGAAGTCCCCATCACATGGTTCTTCTGCCACCTTTTCCAAGACTGGTTGGTTGACTTGGGAATGAATCACAGTAGCCTGTTTGGACAATTTCATGTTGGAGACAGATTAGGTTAGTATAATACCAACTGAGATAATATTAAAGTCTATCGAGATAATATGAAAGAGATAATATTAAAGTATGATATTAAAAGTATAATAATTAAAGTATAATATTAAAGAGATAATATTAAAGTCTAACACAGAGGTAGAGAGATGCTAGTGTAGAGATGTTGGGGACTGCTTACTAAGACATTTCCTTATTGCAGCATCAGGTGGGTCATTAGACCACATGCCGACTAGCTGAATGTGGGACTTGGAGTGATCTCTGTGGGAGTTGAAATTTGAGTGGCCTGGGCACTTGCCTTCTTGCTCTGCAACTTGAACCTTAGACCTCAGGTTTTTATTCTTATTTGGAAAGAAGATAATAATTCTTTCTTTGGGGGATAGTTTGGAGAACTAAAGACAATATGTGAAGGTGGCCCGACATATTTGTGTTACATGGTAAACGATGCTCTGAATCACTTTAAAATATTTCCACCAATTGTAACTCTTTTGCTGCCACATAAATCAAAGTGAGTTTTGACCATGAGGCTATATTCTTGACAGGTGAAAAACAGTTAAAACAGAGTAACTTGATCTAATGAAGACTGGTTTATTAGAACCTCCTTCTCTCCCTTCCTCCTTCTTCTTTCCTATTCCAAATCTTTCCTTTAATATTGAGGATCAATTTTGTGACATGTCCCTCGCTATTGCTGAGGAAGACACAAAACATAAATCAGGTGTAATAGTTGCTTGATGGAAATGAATCATGTAATCACAGTCAAAACTCTAATTTGCATTCAGGGCATTTCAACCCTGTGTACAGTAACTGGATATTTGGCATGAGAAGGGAGAACTTGACTAAATTGTACCTTTGTAAGTATATGCCAATATATAAGTGGAAAAATTATTAAGGGATCTTTTCAGATATGAAGAGATAGCTCTGTCCAAGGCTATAATTTTATCTGTTGCCTATAAATTGGGGGAATTAAAAATCCAGGCCACTCGATCCCTGAGCCCCATACCCAGCCCTATTTTGTATTTTATTTAGAGACAGGGTCTCCCTGAGTTGCTTAGGGCCTCGCTAAGTTGCTGAGGCTGGCTTTGAACTCACAATCCTCCTGCCCCAGCCTCCAGAGCCGCTGGGATTACAGGTGTGCACTTCCAAGCCCAGGTTGTTGTGTATATCTTTGGTCTCTCCCTTTTCCATGTTGTTACAGTTTTTTTTTTTTTTAAATTCCAAAGGGATGCTCAAGAAGAACCTAGAAATCAGGGAAATGCAACTTAAAAGTAAGAACAGAAGGCATCCCTCTGATAGCCGAGGTTCCTGGGTCAGTCACAGAGGTATCACAGGTCTCTCGATGGGCACATTTCAGGGATACATGGCTTCCTAAGTATTTTTTTGCCATTTTGTTGCAATGAAACTAGGGGAAGAATTTTGATTCAACTTCAGAGGTGGGGACAACAGAGAGAGAGCTCGAAAGAGACTATCCCTAGCACAAGAAAGAACAGGGAGATGAAGTCGAGATTATCCAAAAAGACGTGCCATGTTTGTCTGAAGTGAAGATGGAGAAGTAGAAATCAAAATTATGGATATACTAAGGATAAGCTTGATAAGAACTGAGAGATTAAAATAAATCCCATCTCCCTACATCTCGCTGGCCTCTAACACTTAATAATATTAGAGAAAATGAGTATATACATTTTTTTCCCTGGGTACTAGGGATTGAATCCAGGGGCATTTAACCACTGAGTCACACCATCAGCCCATTTTTGTATTTTCTTTAGAGACAGGGTCTCACTGAGTTGCTGAGGGCCTCGCTAAGTGGCTGAGGCTGGCTTTGAACTCGTGATCCTCCTGCCTCAGCAACCTAGCACCCCCAGCAGCTAGGATTATAGGTATGTGGCATTGTGTCCAGCTGAGTGTATTTTTTAGGCACTTTGAGTTGACTTTTACCTAGCATTAACTATATACTGGGCACCACGTTAAGTCATATTAAGTATTTTTCATATATTGTCTTACCAAAATCTTCCAATAGTCTTGAGGTCTGTTCTATAATTAGGCCTGTTTTCCCGGTGGTGAGACTAAGTTTCAGATAACTGAATCACATTGTCCAAGGATAGACAGTCAGTTATTGCATGGTGCAGCCGGGACTCAAACCCTGGCAGAGTGACTCCAGCATCGTTCATGCAGCTGTATTCCGTGGCAACAGCATTTGGACATTTTGGCTCCAGTTCTGGCCTTTTAGAATTTTGACTTTTAGACATTAATCTGGAAACTTGACACAGGTCCCTTAACCTCAGCTCCATGCAGGGGCATTATAGCTCATCTACCTTTATGTGTCATTATGAAATGAGAGATGCCAAAGTGCTTTGAAGAAAGTAAGTTTGTTACTAAGGTGGAAGATAAGATGATTATTTCCTGACCCTTTGTTGGAAGATGTCACCTACTGTGGTGTGTGTCTGGCTCCTTCTCTAAAACTTGCTCTGGCCCAGGAGAGTGAGTGCTATCAGCTGTATTTAGATGACAGACTCCCCAAAGACAAGACAAAGGTGCACAGCAGACCTCAGGTGGGTTCTCTACCAGGTGTCTGGAATTGGAACTGAGTGAGTGTAGCTCGTTCCAAACTTTCTCTTCCTTTTTACTTGGGTGGGGTGGGGGATGGTATACCAGGGATTGAACTCAGGGGCACTCAACCACTGAGCCCCCTCCCCAGCCCTATTTTGTATTTTACTTAGAGACAGGGTCTCACTGAGTTGCTTAGGGCCTCGCTTTTGCTGAAGTTGACTTTGAACTTGAGATCCTCCTACTTCAGCCTCCCGAGCTGCTGGGATTACAGGCATGCACCTAGCCCAAGTTTTCTTTAACAGCAAATATAAACTTAGAAACTGTGAGGTGTTTTCTTCTGTTGTGGGTATGGGGAAAAAGTAAAAGTCTATCTGGAAAGAGACAATAATGAAACAGATATTCTCTTTCAACAGAAAAACACAAAGCTCCAGAAAGAGGTAAGGAAAAGAGTGGGAGATAAAACCTGTTCCATTTCCCAATGATATTTTGGTTCTTGGCCTTGTATTCTACGCTGGCAAGGCAACGTGATAGTATTTTTCCAATTATTTTCCATTTTGCATAAACTATCCATATGACTTGAAGGCAAATTTGTAATTTAAAAAAATTTATTGTGTTTGGCTGAGGCTGGCTTTGAACTCGTTCCTTTGATTTTGGAAATACGAATCTGATTTCGTTGGCAGAGCCGTGTTCCACCTCAGTGGCTAGAGCTCTCTCCTGGAACTTAATGCAAACCTGGAAGAAAAATGCAAAGTTAGGTAAAAATTTCCACTAGTGGCAACTCAGAGGGACTATTCTTTAGTATCCGGCATCTGGAACTCTGATTCTCCTCAAGATTTGCCTTTGTGTTTTCAAATCTCATCGTGTTCATGAGCCATTTGATATCTTCCCCAAAACTGTTTTTTTTTATTTTTTATTTTCTCCAAGATGAAGTTAGAGTCAGTTTCTCTTATTTGCAGTCCAAATATTTGAACATATATAGATATTGGTATCAGAAGTGGGGCTCAAAGAATAGACTTTAGGGGTACAAAGACTTGTGCTTTAGCCAGCTTTAAGTGACTTTTCTGTTATGAGAAACAGCTATGGATACATAACTTTAACAATCACCTTGTTTTTTCATTCTGAATTCCTGTCTTCTAGACTAAAAATCATTGAAGACACTAGAAGTAGAATTTAAAGGACACTGTAGGTTCTCACAATTTTTTGGAGACTGGTTATCAAACTAACAAACACATCAAACAGTTTTATCTTTGTTCTCTTAGGTTTTGAGAACCGAGTTATAATCACTTTCATTAAACACTGTCTATAAAACAAAGTAGAATAAGTAATACTGCTTATGTTAATGCATACCTCAAAGCAGTTATCTACAGGTGAGGCCAGCAATCAATAGAAATGATTGTGAGGTCCTCATATATGGTTTGTTTCCATGGTTACTATCTCACCAAAGCAGGAATCAGTGGTAAAATCACCGGGAGCAGAGGAGCAACCTTTTCCTGCATTGTAAGAGCATTCCCAAGTTGGGCAGGGTGGCACACCCTTGTAATCCCAGAGGCTGGGGAGGCTGAGGCAGGAGGATCTCAGTTCAAAGCCACCCTCAGCAACTTAGTGAGGCCCTCAGCAACTCAGTGAGACCCTTTCTCTAAATAAAATACAAAATAGGGCTGGGGGGTTAAACACCTGTATTTCAATCTCAGTTCTCTCCCCAGAAGCTTCTCAGATTGAATTCCAAAAAGCTGTAGAAACACAGGTTAACCTTGGAGCAAAAATAATTATTTCTAAGGTTGCTAAAGAATGTTGTTCCTTTAACAAACACTGCTGAGCTTCCTATTCTTCGATACAAACTATTTTGTGCTGCTGTTATAGCTTCTGTCTTTTTTCAGACACAGCTTCTTTATTGGGAATAATACAAGTCTTAGCCTTATAAATTAAGAATCCAATTTAGCATCCCTGCTAACTGTCAGATTTTCTCTCTTCCTGTAAAAGCGACATACCTGATGACAATATTTGACCATCCTCAACCCATAGAGTACATCTTTTCTAAAGCTATTAAGCAACTAAACCAAGAGGATAGAGAAGATTTAAAAAAAAAAATGACCATAACTATTCCTGGCACGTTTGTATGCCATATAATTTCTTTTGTATCTTATTAAGTTTGAGTATTTTCTTCTCCAGTCAGTTGAGTGTATTCTATGTGGGGTTTGAATAATGTTTCCCTCCCAGATAACTTCTATGCCATCAAAAATCCCTTTAAACTTCTGGCAGGTGGCAGCCTTAATGTTTAGATTCCATGTCTGCTTTTGGCTTAGAATTTTGACTTGACAGTCATCTAAGCAGTAGCTGCTAATACCTGCTGGGTTTCTATTAAGAAGTCTGTCAGTCGGTGGCCCTGGAGTGTATAGATTCTTATGATAAAAAAACTTGAGGACCAAAGGACGGTCTTGCTCGTGGAGTGCACTACTACCATTCCACTGGCCTAGTTTGGGAGGCAGACATTTACCATCCAACTCTGGAGGTGCTTTTCTTAGTCATTGGGCAAATGGAGATCTGGGAGGTTAAGCAGCGAGGGAAACCGACTCACCACCGAAGTGTTCAAGCTGGACATGACAGGGCTGTGGACAGCCATGCACTTGTTGGACTGCTGCTTGCAAGCTGACATGAGTTGCAAGACTTCCTTGGGATCTGTGGCGACTTTGACATCAGACAGTCCTTTGGCCCACGCGGATGAGCCCACCAACCACAAGAAGGAGAAGACCACGGTAACGATGAAGTCCTACAGAGCAGAGATTGAGCAGGAAAAGAAAATGGACGTGAGTTCTAGGAACAAGTCAACTACTTTATATAACTACTTGCTTTGCCTTTTAGAAAAATTCCAAGATCCCACAGCAGGAGGAACAAGAGAGAGATGTTGGATAATGAAGATTGATGATATTCATACTGACATAAAATATACAATAATAGTAATAGTCATTGAATGCTCACCATGTCTCAGGAACAATGCCAAGGACTATATAATCCTCATCTGATAGATCCTACAACATCCCTTATCATAAGTATATAACAATGATTTAACCACTGAGCCTTTTTAATTTTTTATTTTGAGACAGGCTCTCGCTGTGTTGTTAAGGGTCTCACTAGGTTGCTGAGGCTGGCTTTGAACCCACGATCCTCCTACCTCAGCCTCCTGAGTTGCTAAGATCACAGGTGTGGGCCACCATACCTGGCAAGAAAGTTCTTATCATTATTCTAAGAGCCGTCCAAGGCTTTCTGACTACTGAGTCCTAGCTCTTACCCACCAAGCTCTGATGGCTTTAAAGAGTTAGAGTTTAGCAGTTCTTGGAGTCCCTGGATGGTAGTATCCATCCATTTATCCACTTGTTGGTTTAACACACCTATGCATTATCTATGTTAGCCCAGGAACACTGTTACATGGAAGGCAATAATAGCTATAATATTTTGTGCCTACTGTGGATGAGAGGTTTTATATAAAATCATTCTTACAATAATCATGTTAGACTGTATTTGTAGGACTTATTTTAGAGATGGGGACACTGAGCTTCCAGGAGGTCCAAGATAACACTTAGGAAGTGACAGAACCAGAATTCATATCCGGGTCTGACTCTAAAAACCACCGTTTGTAGGGGAAAAAGCTTCTTTATTTTTAACAACAACAACAAAAAAATCTCTACGATGTAAGGGGTCGACTATTTCAGAGACAGAATTCTCTAATGGGACAGAACCCTCCTATGTTCACCTACGAACTCACGACCCGTGAAACTCCACATTATGTACAACCACAAGAATGGGGAGTTAGACTCCATGTATTAGGGACTAGTTACCACGTCCTCTCTCATGGAAGGAGAGGTGGGAGTCACTGTCCAAGACTTGAGCACAGTCCATGTCCTAACAGACCCTTTTTTAGATTTAGTGTGCTTTCATTTGACAACTACAAAAATGTTACATGCTGTTTACCTAAAATAACTAAAAGAAACACCAACCCAGAAAGAAATGTAATACCTTTGATACATCCAAAAAACAGTCCTCTCTTGGCTGGCCGCGGTGGCACATGCCTATAATCTCAGTGGCTTGGGAGGCTGAGGCAGGAGGATGGCAAATTCAAATCCAGTCTCAGCAACTTAGCGAGGCCCTAAGCAACTCAGAGAGACCCTGTCTCGAAATAAAAAATAAAAAAAGGGCTGGGGATGTGGCTCAGGTTCAATTCCCAGTACCAAAAATAAATAAATAAATAAATAAATAAATAAATAAAAAATAAGAAAATAAAAAGAAAGAAATAGGCTGCTCTTTTTATTCTAGATAGTAAGTCCTGTCCCGAGCAAAAATCTTGGACTGTTTCTTTCCTACCCAAGGGCAGGAGCTTCTGATTTGCCTGGGTCCTGTTGTCCCTGGGGATAAATGACTTCTCATCAAGCTTCTGTGATCTGCACTGGGGACTCTGACACTGCTCAGGTGCTGAATGAGCCTGGATGTGATAGGGGGACCTTTGTGGTGAATGTTTCAGAGAGTTTTATAACTATCAATGGCTAAACCTTTGGAGCAACTGGTCTCTTTTCATCCAGGGACTGTTCTGAATCTTGTAACAGTTTACCTTTTTGTGTTGGCTCTAGAATATTTGGGTCAATCCACAATTTATTCACACGGTTTTTAGGGCATAGTATTTGTTTTTATGGGGTACTGGGGATTGAACTCAGGGGCACTCGACCACTGAGCCACATTCCCAGCCCTATTTTGTATTTTATTTAGAGACATGGTCTCACTCAGTTGCTTAGCACCTTGCTTTTGCTGAGGCTGGCTTTGAACTCGAGATCCACCTACCTCAGCCTCCTGAGCCACTGGGATTACAAGTGTGCACCATCATGCCCGGCTAGGGCATGGTATTTTTAATTATTTTTTATACTCATCTTTCTTTCCTTCTTATTTTTGATTAGTTACATCTTGAGTTTTATAAACCCTTATACACCACCTTAAGTTCTTTTTGGAATGAGGCAAAGTGTCAACCAACATGCAAATGAATATGCCATCTACAATTGCTTCAACATTAATAAGAACATTTGGAACACAGAAACTCAAGTGATGGGTTTGAACTAGAAATTGGAGGAATGGTTACAAATAAATAGGCCAGATAAACTGTCAAATCATAATTTCCTGTTTACCTACAATTTGAATCTTCATTCATTCATATATTCATGCACTCAAATAGTAAATTTTGATTAATGTGCCAAAGACTTGTGTAGTCTTATGGAGGATAAAAACATGCAAATCAGGGACTTTGATCTTTTCAATTACATATTGATTATGGGCCCATATTGACCATCATATTCTGACCATGGGACTGTGGTGGTCATTATCTACACTTATCATATTTACAAAAAGTCTTATTAAAAGGCCAGTAGGATCAGCATACTACCGTGACACAGCTACATTGATGTTTACAGCAGCCCAATTCACAATAGCTAAGCTATAGAATCAACTTTGGTGCTCTTCAACAGGTAAATGGATTAAGAAAATGTGGTATATATACACAATAGAATATTACTCAGCCATAAAGAAGAATGAAATTATGGCATTTGCCTGTAAATGGATGGAGCTGGAGACTATCTTGCTAAGTGAAATAAGCCAAGCTCACAAAAACAAAGGTTGTGTGTTCTCTCTAATATGCGGATACTGACTCACAATAGGCAGGGGGCAGGGAGGAATGGAGGTTCACCAGATTGGACAGGGGAATGGGGGAAGAGAGAGGGGGTTGGGAATGGGAAAGACAGTAGAATGAGTGGGACAGAACTTTCCCATGTTCATATGTGAACACACGACCACATCATGTCCAACCACAAGAATGGAAAGTTAGACTCCATGTATGTATAATATGTCAAAATGTATTCTATAGTTATGTGTAACTAAAAAGAACGATAAATTTTTTTAAAAAAGGCCAGTAGGATGGTGGAATCAGAAAAGAATTCTGTGAAGACCTCTCAGTTGGAGATTGGAGAAAATCATGTGAAAGCTTTTATATTTATTAGTTTAAATCCTCATAATGCCCAACATTTAGTGAGTATTTTTCTAAGTTCATATGCATCCACTCATTTAATTCTAATAATAATCCTGTCCCATTTTGCTGTGGGGGAAAATGGTGTACCAAGAGGTGACATAACTGTCCTAGTCACAAGTGGGTAGATGCAGGGTCTGGGATCCTAAGCCTGTCCATCTGCCTCCAGGGACTGCTACTCTATGCTGCTTCTCATGTCTCCTTGAAGGAATGAAAGTCTTCCTTCTTATTTACTTTTTATTTTTACTTAAGGAATGATGTCCGGATGGAAGCTATTACTTCCTACTCCCCAAATAGGAGTCATTCCTGTGAACCCACCAATTCCATGATTTTTATTATTATTATTTTTTGGTACTGAGGACTGAAGCCAGAGGTGCTTAGACACTGAGCCACATCCTCAGCCCTTCTTTATTTTTTATTTAGAGATAGAGTCTCTCTATGTTGCTTGGGGCCTCACTAAGTTGCTGAGACTGGCCTTGCACTTTCAATCCTCCTGGCTCAGCCTCCTGCGTGGCTGGGATTACAGGTGTGCACCACTATGCCTGGCTATGATCTCTCTTTCAAAACAAGTACACTAAATTGTTTTTCAAAAGAAGTTCTTGAGGTATTGCTTAATTTACTATGAAAAATAGTAATGAAGCATTTTCAGGAAAGAAACTATAATTGAAACCAAAGATTTATATGGTCGTACTTAGTACAGTGCTTTTGGAAGCGGATTCATTCTTTTACTTTCTAGTTTCATCTCCGAAAGAGAGATCTGTACAGATGATCTCTTAAATGAGTTAAAAGCTCAGACTCTGTCCCCGGACAGGCCTGGGTTTGAATACTTCATTTTATACTTGATCGCTTTGTGTCCGTAGGGAGTTTGCCAGACCACTTGAAGCCTCAGTTTGCCTCTCTGTCAATTGGGATAATAACAGTATCTGTTTCATAGGAGGGTTGTGAGGCTGAAATCAGATGCTATAAATCACTTGCCTATTGCTGTGTCTGGCAAATAGTGAGGAACCAGTGAATGTCCTCTTTAACCACCACCAATAACAGCACCAGTCAGTGCAATACCACCATAACTAGCATGACCCATGGAGCACGAGCTTACACGACTGTGTATCTACTTTGAGTAACTTCTGTCTATGGAAGTGGAAAGATGGAGATTTTGAGCAAGGTTGCAAACCTCAGCATTTAAAAATCATGAGCTGGGCACCGTAGTGCATGCCTGCAATCCCTGAAGCTTGGGAGGCTGAGGCAGGAGGATCTCCAGTTCCAAGCCAGCCTCAGCAACTTAGCGAGGCCCTAAGCAACTCGGTGAGACCCTGTCTCTAAATAAAATATAATAATAATAATAATAATAATAATAATAATAATAATAATAAAAATAAATAAATTGGGTTGAGGATGTGGCTCAGTGGTAAAGCACCCCTGGGTTCAATCCCCAGGGCTAAAAGTAAATAAATAAATAAATAAAAACATTGGAACAAAGAAGTTAATGTGAACCCTTAAAAATAGGGCTGTAGGACATTATTTATTGACGTTTGTCTACCCCAGCACAGTAGGTAGAGCTGCACATACATCCTCTGCTCAAAAACGGACAGTGACACCCACCTTCCTGACAATAGAAGCCAGAGGCCACACAGAGGCTCCCAAGAGATCACCATCTGGCTGTGCCTACTGCCTCTCTGATTTGGGTTCCTGTCCTGTCCTCCCATCCCCATCCC